GATAATAATGTAACATATCGTGCAAGACTAGTTGCAAAAGGATTTCTTCAAAGACCAGGTATTGACTTTAATGAAACCTTTTCCCCTGTGTTAAGACATTCGTCATTAAGATTATTTTTTGCTTTGGCGGCTCAGATGAATCTAGATATAACTCATCTAGATGTGAAGACTGCTTTCTTAAATGGTTTTTTAATGGAAACAGTTTACATGAAAATGGCAGAAAATTTTAAATGTAATGATAATAATAAAGTACTTAAACTAAAAAGGGCCTTGGTTACTATGGAAAGGACTATGGTTTGAAGCAATCTGCGAGAGCTTGGTACCAAAGAGTTGACAGTTTTTTTAAGTCAGTTGGTTTTAAAAGATCCAACGTTGAATCGTGTCTTTATACTAAAATAAATAGTTCAGCCAAAATATTTATTGCCCTTTATGTGGATGATTTCTTTATTTTTTCAAACAGTGTATTAGAGACTGATAAAATAAAGAATGGCTTGTCATCTATATTTAAAATAAAAGATTTAGGTAGAGTTAAAAAATGTTTAGGCATGAGAGTTCATACAGACAAAGAAAATGGTATTATAACTTTAGATCAACAACAGTATATTGAAAAGTTGTCACAAAAATTTAATATTCAAAATTGCAAAGCTGTACATACACATATTGAAACTAAGTCGAATTTAAATAAAAGTGAACAATGTAATACTCATTTACCTTACCAGCAGTTGATTGGTTGTATGATGTATTTGGCAGTACTTACTAGGCCAGACATTGTGTTTGCTGTCAATTACTTAAGCCAGTTTAATAATAGTTATAATGAGGAACACTGGACTTATGCTAAAAGAATGTTAAAATATTTAAATACAACAAAAACTTTCTGCCTCAAATACACTGCTAATGGTAATTCTAAATTAAAAGCTTATGTTGATGCTGACTAGACTAGCAATGTATTAGACAGGCGCTCGTATACCGGTTTTTTCTTTGCTTTATCGGATGGTGCTGTTTCATGGGAAACCAGAAAGCAGGTTACTGTCGCACTGTCAAGCACAGTGGCAGAATACATGAGCATAGCTGATTGTTGTAAATAAGCACTTTACCTAAGAAACTTACAATATGAAATAACTAATGAGTCATATGTTATAACTATTTATAATGACAATCAGTCAGTACAGAAGTTGGCAAATGATAATTGTTTACATAAGAGATCAAAACATATTTATATTCGCTTTCATTTTTCAGAGAACACTTAAATAATAATATTATTTGTTTAGAATATTTACCAACTTCAGAAATGCCAGCTGATTTGTTTACCAAAGGTTTAAATAGAGTTAAGCATTATAAGTTTATAAAAATGTTAGGTATAAATTAAAAAGAGCACAAAAGTTATATAAAATTTTATTTTGTTAAGTGGGAGTGTTGAATTAAATAATAAGTCTTACTAATGTAACAAAATAAACATTTAATATCGTACTATCTAGTATCACAACCTGTGTTCTGTGTTAACAACAATATCTATGGTTCAGTGTTAAAACAAAAAATATATATATAATATATATATATATATATATATATTCATTCTCTCTGCTCAATCGTCGTTTCATTACAACAAGAAATTTTTGCGGTACATGGGGAATACCAAAAATAATAGTTAGTGACAATATGCCTTTTAGTAGCTTTGATTTTAAAAAATTTGCACATTCATTGGATATTCAAATTATAACTTCAAGTCCAAGATATCCTCAGTCAAATGGTTTAAGTGAGAAAGCTGTAGGTATAGTCAAGAGTATTATGAGAAAATGTAAACATAGTCAGTCAGATTTTCAGTAAGCATTGTTAAGTTACAGATCTACACCAGTAGCAGGTTTAGAATACAGTCGATCTGAGACGTTAATGTCTAGAAATTTAAGAACAACACTTCCTTGCACTCATTCCTTTTTACAACCTAAAGTTTTAGAAAATTTTCATGGTAAAATTTTAAAATTAAAAGAGAAGTCGAAGAGAAATTATGATAAGACAGCAGTTAATAGATCTAAAGTTTTTGAAAAAGGGGATGTAGTAGTTATTCAGAATAGACCCAGAAAAAGAATGGGTACGAGGCAAGTGTTAGAGTCAGCTGGCCCTAGGTGTTAAAAAAGAGGATGGTAGGGTTGTGAGACGCAATCAAAAACATATGAATCCTAGTATGAATAAGTTTATTGTGAAAACTTCAACGGTTTATTGTGATGTTAATGATAATGTTGACGGTGATGTGGACAGGTATCAGGGTCCAACACAGCCGCAGTATCTAGAACGGATTACTGAATCTCAGCCAATCCAATCTAAGGTTGTTCAGACTCAGTCTGTGCCTGTGGAACCTGAACCTAGTAGGGTGGCCATGAGTTTACCAGAGTCCAGTAGGGTGACCACACGATCGGGTAGAGATTTTAAAGCTCCTTCTCGTTATAAACGTTTTGTTTAGTAATTTTGTGTTAACTTAGTTTGTTTTAGTTACTAAATATGAGATAAAAAGGGGGGATGTTACGTATCAGTGCTATTTGTAAGTATGCGATGTTGGCAACCCTATTTTAAAAAATAAATACTTTTTCATAACATGGCTGACACTTGTGTTTTATTTCTTTTAAAGATATTTAGTTATAACAAATATCTAACACTTACATAGTTTGTGATAAAATGGTGTTATAAATGCTCCGTTGCCGAGTGATTATTAGGTACGCCTCAGTGCTCATATCATTTTAACAAAGGTGTACAGGGTTTGGTTCTTGTACGAGTTAACATAAAAAAAATACTTTTCTACATTGTATCATCGTTCTCATATAATCTGATTTTTGTGATAATAATACACATCTAAATGTTGATATTAGAATAATATGGAGTATGTAAATATACTTTTTCTCTATCTTATATATTGTGTTATTTACTTAGCATAATAAATCGTTTCACAATACAATGATAGCATCATGTAATAAATATGAAATATTTTTTGAATATAATTCGATTTTATTATTTACATTAAAATGCTTATAAACTCGTTGATTTCATTTTTTTTACTTGCTAAAGTATCACGTTTCATTTAGCGGATGTAAGTCGCATACCACTTTATGCCTAACTTGCAGAAAAATATACATAAACAACGTTACAGAAATTAATTATAGAATAATTTTATATAGTGCGGGAGCTGTGTGATAAATAATTTCAAACAGATGTTTTTTATTGTTCTTTGAATATTGTTTTCTTTAATACATACTTCGAAAATAGTGATTTATTACATATCACAGTTTTTATTAATTAATAGTAATATAATGTAACATACATTTCAGGGGGCGTGTAATGGTATGACAATAATTAAATAACAAATTAAACTTTTTATTTTACACAGTGAAACAAAAAGTGGGTCACATCAAATGCTAACATTTAATAATTATAATTTAGGTGTAATTGTGCTAAATGTATGTGTGTGTGTATTAGTATAATGTTGATGACTATTATAAATACGGGAAATAATTTGTAATTCGCTCTCTTTTAATAAACCAACGTCAACCTAACAATGTGTTTGGATTGCATCTATAATTAACAAGCATGATACTTCATGGTGACCCTGCAAACAACTGGAAATTAGTAAGAAGGAAAATTTGAAGATAGAAGATTTTCATTATAAAATTATTAAGAATAATTCGAAGACAATTTATAGATAATAAAAAAAAATGAAGAATATCCTGATAGCAGTCGTAGCAGTTATTATCATATTTTTGGCAGTGCTCCTGTATGTGGTTCATCTTTCCAACCTTCATCATTAGAATAAAACATCAACCTAGAACAATGTGTCGCAGCTCTCAATCAAAAGAAGAAATTATCATCGCCCAGAATGCAGGTGGAAACGCTCAAGTAGCCGAAAATAAACTCAACCTAACCGAAATATTACTCATCTCGTTATTTGTCATATTATTCGCTGCCACCGCTTACTTCATATACAAGAAGTGCAGACAGAATGCTGTAAGAGCTTTGAGAAGGGAACTTCACCACAACACTCTAAAAATGCAACCGAAACCTTCGCAAGCTAATTAAGAAGACATCAAGAGGTGTCCAGGGTTATCCCGGCCCACATCAAGAGGTGTCCAAGGTTATTCCGGCCCAGCTCGAGGTTTCCATCCCGGCACGCATCAAACTTCAGGAAGACTACAGAGCCTCAGCTCAACAGCTCCGGAAGCAGCCACGTGCCAGCAATCGACGGAAACGTGACTGCGACGCATCCTGTCCGCCGATCCCGCTGATGCAGCCGTCGCGACCGCTCTACTGTACCACACTTGTCACGTAAATTGAGCAATAAAAGTAGGTGTTTTTATAATTATGTCGTACGGTATTATGTCGTAGTGTTATGTCGTACGGTATCCTATTGTGGGGAAATGCTGCCGACATACAAACAATTTTTGTGCTTCAGAAAAGAGCAATTCGATCAATTTATAATCTTAGGATTAGGGACTCTTTAAGGGAGGAATATTATAAACCAGTCAAAACTAAGCAGACGTGTTTTTCTGTGCTCCGTTGTTTTTATTTACAAAGTGTGAAAAGGTTTGTGTATGTAACCGAAACAAGTTACCAACGGCTTTTTCGTGTATTATTGCTCATAGTGTTAGAAAATTAAATATTCTTTTTGCTGAAATTGAGTCCATATATGAAAAAACAAAATCTTCCTTTTCTAATATTCTGCAACGTGAGTGTAGGTGAATAACAAGATTTTTGAGAGTGACTTCATCCACGTTACCTTCATTGTTTTTGCTGCAGTTGTTGAACATAGTAAATTCTAATTACGCCCATTTATCAACGGCACAGTTGGTGCAACGGAAGGTGCGCTTGTGAACAAGCATCGGTCCGTAGTTCAAACCCCCGGTATTGTGGAGCATTTGCTGAGAAAGTGTTTTTATTTCTTTAGCTATTTTTTTCTTTATTAATTAGTAAGAAGTTATTGATTTACTGTCTCTAGTGAATAATAATAAAAAAACAAAAAAATGTCAGACTGGGGTTGCTGCAGGGAAGACGTTAATGGTGACGAGAATGTTATTTGCAATAAGTGCAAGAAAAAATTTCCTACAGAATACTTAAGATCGGGTGGTACGGAGTTGCAAGTTTTTTCTGACATTGATTGGGTGTGCCTACTTTGTAAAAATAAAACATTGAAAAAAGATTGTACCCCTGTTCGTGTCGGTAACAAGTCTACAAGCAATAATGGTGCTAATGTTTTAATACGTTCGAATGAGAGACAGGCACTATCTTCGCCTCCAACAAACGTTAATAATTCTTTAACGCAAGATGATGTTAGGAATATTATACGCTCTGAATTTGCCGAAATGCTAAGTATGATGAAAAGCACCTTGTCAATTTTTTCCTCGGAACTGAATTCCTTAAAGGAGGACATAAGTTGCGTTAAAGAATCCATGGACTTTATCAACAGCATGTTTGAAGACATTACAAGAGAAACCAATGCAAACACTGAAATTGTTAATACTCTAAAATCCGAATACGACTCGCTAAATGCTGCCGTGGCCAATATTTCCAATAGGTTCAACCAACTTGATCAGTTTTCCAGAGCAAGTAACATAGAGATACAGTGTGTTCCAGAGAGAAAAAATGAAAATCTTCTTACATTCATAAAACAAATTGGAATAGTGATCGGTACTCAAATCAACAAGGATCAAATCATGCATTGCACAAGAATCGCCAAATTAGATAAAAAAAGTAATCGCCCCAGATCCATCGTGGTCCAATTCAATACTCCACTTACTCGGGACAGCTTTCTTGCCTCGGTATATAAATATAATAAATTTCATTCAAACGATAAGCTCAATTCGGGTCATCTAGGCATGCCTGGTGACAAGGTACCAATTTATATTATGGAACATCTGTCACCTATGAACAAGGCTCTGCATGCTGCTACCCGCATCAAGGCAAAGGAACTGGGATACGATTTTGTATGGGTACGAGGGGGTCGGATATTTATCAGGAAGAATGATGCCTCGGACCATAAATGCATAAGAGATATGGAGTCAGTGAATAAATTGTCATAGAATAAGTTTAATAATTTTCAATATTTTCAATATATGCATGTGTTATTGATTTTCTTTACTATAATTCTTTTCTTTGCAATTATATTACCAAAATACACGTGGACTACGAACTAAGACTACAGATTTTTATAAACAAGTGTGTATTAATAATTATGACATAATTGTACTGACTGAAACTTGGCTTAATGATTCTATCACGGACGGTGAGCTCTTTGACGACAGATACATAATATATAGGAGAGATAGATGTGACTCGTCTTTAAGTCGTAAAAAGGATGGAGGGGGAGTTCTAGTTGCTGTTTCTAAAAAATTTCTTCTAAGCGTGTTAACAAATGGGAAAGCAACTGTCAGGATATATGGGTACGCATAGATATTCCAAACGTTAAATCTGTTCGTCAAATAGCTCTCTGCGCAGTGTACATGCCACCTCCTGTTGCAAATGTCTTACTGGACCACTTTATTGATAATTGTAATTCAGTTTTTGAGCAGTCATGTGATGATGTTTGCGTGATAGGTGACTTTAACCTTGGTTGTATAAGGTGGCATGAGGCGGGAGAGTCTACTGGTGGACATCTTGTGTCAGGCATTGCTTACAAACTAATCGATTTCGTTAGCGTGAATAAGCTAAAACAACATAATTATGTTAATAATATATCGGGTAGAATTTTGGATTTAGTACTCTCAAATTTCACATCATGTACGGTGAATGAGTCCCAAAATACTCTAAGCATAATTGATAAGTTACATCCCGTACTAGACATTGTGATAGCCTTTGAAAATGTTTTGAGGTTACCGTATGCATCGGATAATATGAAGTTTAATTTTTCCAGAGGCGGATTACGTCAATATTTGTAAAAAGTTACAATTATGTGATTGGGACCAATTATTTTATGATTTAAATAATGTAAATGATGTTCTAGACGTTTTTTACAATACCGTTAGAGAAATAATACGTATATGTGTCCCCTTTAAAATGGCAAATAACGGGAAATTTCCACCATGGTTCACATCCAACTTAATAAAAATACTTAGAAGGAAACATAAGCTTCATTGTAGATATAAAAATTACAAAAATCCACTAGATGGTTATGAAGTTAAAATCTTAGCTTCACGTTCTAAGCAATTGGCGGAATTATGTCACATAAACCATATAAGTAAGATAGAAAATCAAATTTAAAATAATCCTAAGTTATTTTGGACATACATTAAAGGTTAAAGAGGTGGATTTAGTTCGTATCCTGTGTCAATGTCAAGCGGACCTGTTACTACTTCTGATGGTGGACATATCTGCGATCTTTTTGCTTCGTATTTTGAATCAGTTCATAATGAAAGGAACGATTACAATGAAGATGTTGTAAATTTAGACCAATTTCATCAATGGGATAGCAACAGTCAATTGTTTAAGCTTCCTAATATTGATCATAAACTTCTGCTTAAAAAACTTAAGTCACTTGATACTTCAAAGTGAGTAGGACCTGACGGAATTCCTCCTATTTTTATTGTTAACTGTGCGGAATATTTGGCGGAGTCTCTTGCGGTGATATATAATATGTCTTTAAACACTGGAGTTTTTCCAGAGGTATGGAAGTATGCTAAAATTGTCCCAATTCACAAGTCCGACGATAAAGAGCACATTAAAAATTATAGGCCTATATCAATACTATCTTGTTTAGCCAAAGTATTTGAATCGTTCATTTGTCCATATGTTCAAGATCATTTTAAACAATACTTGAGTCTGTCACAGCATGGTTTTGTACACTCGAGATCAACCTGTACTAACCTAGTCGCATTTGTCGAAAACCTAAGTTTAGCACTAGATTCTAATAAACAGATGGACGTAATTTATACAGATTTTAGTAAGGCATTTGATTGCGTTTCCCATGAAATCTTATTGAGAAAATTATCTGCCTATTGACTTTCAGGCATTTCACTTAGGTGGATGACATCCTTATTAATAGATGGGTACTTTTATGTAGTTGTTAATGGATTTCAATCAGAATATCGTAAGATAAAATCTGGAGTGCCACAGGGCTCACATTTGGGTCCGATTCTTTTTAATATATTTATCAACGATTTGCCTGATATACTAAACTTTTCAAAGTCCTATATGTATGCAGATGATTTGAAGTTTTGCCGAGTAATTGACTCTGTAGCAGATTGTGTGAAATTACAGGCTGACATAAACAGCCTTGAGAAATGGTGCCTTCTAAATCAAATGAACCTTAATGCATCCAAATGTTATCATGTGAAATACTCACGCAAAACAAATGTTCTATCCTGGAATTATCACGCTGGCTTTAGGGTGATCCAGGAGCTGACACAGAAAAAGGACTTAGGGGTTATCTTCGATAGTAAAGTAACATTTATTCCTCATGTAGACAGCGTAGTCAAACGGGCATCGAAAATATTAGGTTTTGACATTAGGAATGCAAAGATTTTTCACAGCAACAAAGTAAAAATTCTTCTTTACAATAGCATGGTGAGAAGTATTCTCGAATATGCCAGTATTGTATGGAGACCTCACTTTGCGGTTCACTCCTTACGGCTAGAGAGAGTTCAGAAAAGATTCCTGTAGCACTTGACTTTCGCAAATGGAATCTCAAGGAAAATGAAGACTGTCCCGTACATCGAACGCCTTGAGCATTATAAAATGACGTCTCTGATATGCCGCTATGAACTCAGTGATTTCAGTTTCATATGGAAGTTATTAAACAATAAAATTGACTGTCCGCCACTACTAACATTATTTAGATTCCGAGTCCCTGGCAGGTATCCCCGAAGCACAATAACAAAGCCACTAAGCCCCCCATTTCGCAGGACCGTATTTGGTGCTCATTCGCCAATTCCAAGATTTTGCAATCTTGTGAACAAGTTTAGCGATACATTTGATGTCCACTTTGATTCCCTGAATAGCATGCGAAATATCGTCACATTGTCTCATTCTAAACAAAAAAGGTAAGATAATTATTATTAATATTGTAAAAACTGTAAAAAGACTTAAAATTTCTGATCAAGGATTGTTATATTTATCAAACGCATGGTAGTATGCGTAATGTTATATACTTTGTAAAAAAAAAATAATAGTAATATTGCATGTGGTATTTACCTGTAATTGTTTGATACATTTTTTCTTGTGAGCTAAATCTAGGTAAGTAGATGATAATTGGGTAACCTGGATCAAAAAAAGATCCAGGTTACCCAATCATCATCAGACAGCATTCAAATTATAATCTATTTCGTATTTACTAATGAATAATACTACTGAATTATCAAACACAATGATTGATTTTCAATAAATGCTATTTTTTTCATAGGAAATGAAATTAAAAAGTACCTACACTGTGTTACACTAGCTATTACCTTTTATGAATGAATATAAAATATTTGGATTAGTTTCATTAAGTCTTTAGTTTAAAAGTCAATTCAATAAGTTTGAAGAAATAAAACACATAGTTAATTATAAGTCATATTTATTGTTGTATTTTATTTACAAAGTAGATGTAACATTTTCTCTGTACCACTTATCTAATAGGAATACACTTTTTAAAGCGCATATATTATTATGATATATACAGCTTACAATATCTGAAGAAGTTGAATATTTATCATACAAAGTTGCTAAACTTGGACAATTTTGATCCTCTAGATTATGTACATTGTTATTATTAAACATACCTTTGATCCATAAAACTTTTTCATGCCCTTTAGTTAATATACATTTATTGCTTAAAAAATCACTCACATTTTTATTAAAATTATAATAAGGTACAAATCCTTCATTCCAATAAATACCTCTATTTTTTTCTATCCAGGCTACTCGCAAACGTTCTTTCTTCGTTAAATTATAAAATGCATATGGTGGTTTTATTAACAATACAATGAGATGCCTATTGCTAATTGACAGGATTGCTATTTCTTTTGGAATAAACCGGTTTTGATCATCCTTAAATCCTTGGACATCTACAATCACGTTCATGATAATTTACTTACGATGTTGCTGAGTGGTTTGTATTCAAAAAGCCGATCATTTATTATCAAGCAATAAGCAGTTATGTTTTCTGGTATATTCTGCGAACATTCGATTTCTATTCGAACATCAATGGGTCCACTTTTGATTGAATCGTTTTGTCTTGAACAGTTTATTACAAACATTGGAGCTTTTTCCTTAAATTGAATCAAGTCCAGCAATGGATCAACACCAGCGTTGTAATACGACTGACGAAAGTTAGCAAACATTTCATATAATATACTATATTTACTCTCATCAAATTTTAGATTAAGCGAGTCATATGGAAAGTATTGGGAATTTAAAAATAACTTAAAATTAGTAACGTTACATTGGTCAAAAATCGATGAACTTCTAGCCTTATTAGATTTTCTGTTAGTTTGTAATCCGACAATTACATATCTTGGTTTTTCCAGCTGAGAAGCAGTTTTGATGGACCATGAATGCTTTGTTGTTTTTGGTAATAACGGATATTCGTACAAGTCCCAATTTCTAAACGCTAACTGGATAGGACGATCTTTCTCTAAATGTTTGAGTAATAATAATTTATTACGATCAGCAACTTTTATTTGAGGAACACGCCACTCAACTTTTTGTATAACTATTTCAACGCTTTCGTTGTTTTCTAAAACTACACTATTTTCAACAGAATTACTTCTCTGTAATATCAGCTCATGTCTACAATTTATAATTATTTTATTATAATCTTCAGCAAATCCCAATATTTTATTTAACGGCATAATAGCACTAAAATGACCATCTTTCTGTTTAGTACCATTTACATTCCATCCCCATACAGCTGCTGCTTTATTTTCACCTACATTCATGGATATAAAAGATTTGATTGTAGTAGTAATTCCAGCATTTTTCGCGCGATCAATTTCAACACCATTTAATTCATATCGTATATCTTGAAACAAATATGACAGTGGGTTGTTGATAAAATTAATATCTTTTTTTGCTGCTGGATCTTTAGAAATCACATGTGCATAGC